TTATCGTTTTAATATTATACTGACTGTAGTCCATTTTTTTCATCACTCTATTTTCAATTTCATCCCTCTACTTTCATTTTCTTTTTTCTATTTCGTCTATTTTATTTCGTTCATCTATTGTTTTTTTTCTAGTTGTGATCACTATTATTCTAGGTCTATATATTGCATCATCTTTAGCCATCTCTATTTTTCCTTTTTTCTTTTATGTCACATGTCTTTGTTCTTTCGATATATATATAAGAAGCATACATTTTGATATAGTCAGTTCGAGTGTATTTTGAATACAGAGTTAGTAAGTCGACGGACCAGTTAGTGGTCTTGTTACTTCTTGTTATTCTTGTATATATATTTTTCAGCATTATTTTAAATATACTACACACAGTAAATTGGCATTTTGTTTAATTTAGGAAACTGAGAGAGTTTTCTTGTCTCGCTTAATTAAAGAACCCGGGCTTAACAACTAGTAGAGATCGAAAGAAAAATTAAGTGATGACATCCTTTCATTACCTGCAGCAACTGTTGCGAAAATAGAACAAATACCGTAACCACCAATCCTTTTGTTTTGAGCGTCTCATAATCTCATAGCAAAGTTGTCAACATAGAATCTGAGATAAAACTTACAATTAGGACACGAATGCTTACTGTTTACAAAAAAATGATGAGCACAGAAATTAAGGACACTAGATCATATCCTCTAGGATTTTGAATAATTGACTTTCAGTTTCTATTCTGCTGGGTTACGGCATAACTTTTTTAAATTGTTCGCTATAAACATGTAAGAAAACAAAGTAAATTCTAAGCAAGAATAACATTTTAACAGCATCTATATATAAAGTCACTTCAACTTATATTTATTCCGACGTTTCGAAAATTTATATTTTCATTTTCAAGGAGCACACTATAGACTATCATGACGGTACAAACAAAATGATGCGCATTCTTACATATATATACCTCGACAAAACTGAAACAGAAAGAAGAACAGAAACACCGAGAAGAAGACAGTTCGTCTTCTTATCTATCAGTGTCATCTTATAAGAAATAAGAATGAAAAAAAGGAAAAATGCACTGAGGGTGAGCCTCACCCCCACCCTCACTCTTTAAATGCACTGTAGTAGAAAATATTCTGTAGCAGTCATAATTTTAACAAGTCTACACAGAATGTCTACGGTACCGCATTTTTCATCATCCACGTTAAATACCACCTATTGCGTTCGTCCATCATCATCATTACCCTCATTTTCACCACCTTATATTTCACCCGTTACACCAATACCGACAGTATTTTCACGATATAATGCACCGGAAAAGATTGGTACAGCAATTTTCAAAACATCATTTTCAATTTAGGAATATTCAAGATAATAGTGATTATAATGATATTTATGTACAAGTATTCAATCGTTTTAAAAATAATTTAAAATATTTATGTCCACATCAGCAGCGCCGCCAGCATTGTCAATACATTTAATGTTTAAGGTAAGACCTAACTATAAACGTTTATTTTTAGATGATATACTACCAAATGCAACAAGAACTGATTATGAAGAAATATTAGACGATGATGATTTTAATGAAGAAATTAAATTTAATAACGATTATTTTACAGAATCAACAAGTTATAGATCTCCCAATATTGAAAAAGAATCAAAGAGAAAGAATAGTAATTACTTCGAACAACGAAATGAAAATGCAGCAATAGCATTACAACAAACAACAGTATCTGATGGTAATATAATGTTTAGAACACCTTTAATTTTTATTGACTGTCTAATTGTCTCTCACAGCTATGAATATTTTACAATCCACAATGCCGTATGAATATTTAATACATTTTTCTTCCATGAAAAACACATTAAATCAACTCATCGGTCATGAACAAAAATTTCAACAACTACTTAGTTATAAAACACCATTTCCAATAACATCATTTTCATTACCACCTGCTCGTCGCTACAAAATTAATCATTGGTTAGAAAACGATTTTCAACAGCGTATTCATGATCAAATACGAACAAGAACAAGAAGCAAATGTTTGTTTATTATCGGATACTCACAATCAGGTTAGACAACATTTTCCTTTTTTCATTTTGAGCACTACTACGTCACAGTCTTAGTGAAAAGCTCTCTCTGTTAGGCAGTTTAAAATCTGTGTGATACTTCTAACAAAGTGGGCGGGTTTTCACAGTTATATTCTCTATCGGTTTGATGTTTCGTTTAGGAAAAACGTGTTTTGCCCGTGTACTTGGCACACATATGTTTCACCGTGGCAGTTTTAGTTTGGCTGAATGGTGTGAAGAGGCCGATTATATGGTGTTAGATGATATTTGCTGGTCCGATTTAAAACAACAGTCAAAACAATTATTAACAGCTCCCGGTGAAGTACATTTAACAGATAAATATCATCGTAAAGAAAAAAAAAATAACAATAAACCATGTATATATTTAATGAATTATGAGGATACTGGTACTTTATTAGATGACACGTATTGGATTGACAACGGTGTATTTGTATTGTTAGGTAAAGACGAAAAGTTATTTATATAATTAATCTTTTTATGTTGGTTTTGTCTTGTCCTTTTTTAATACATACTTGTGTTTGCCTTAAAAATATTCTGTACAAGAATAAGAAGTCTTCGTGCAGATAAATCGAATTGTATCAGCTTTGTTCGGACAGTGTCCCTTTGATTCTTAAATTCTAGTCGGCTCTGTTTTTGTTGTATGAACTGAAGCTTTTTTTCTGTAATATATGGTGTGTCCTGTGTATTCTAGCCGGCACTGTTTTTGTTGTTTGAACTCAAACTTCTTTCTCTAATATACGGTGTGTCCTGTGTTTTGAGGACGCAGGACACACCGTATATTAGAGAAAGAAGTTTGAGTTCAAACAACAAAAACAGTGCCGGCTAGAATACACAAGACACACCAGATATTACAGAAAAAAAGCTTCAGTTCATATATTACGTTCGTGATGAGAGAGACAGTACGAATATAAAGTTATATTGATTATGACAAGGCCATGTACCATTTTCGTCTTAGCCAATATTCAGTATGAAATGAAGCTAGCAAAGGAGTGATAATTGATGACTGAACATTAAATATATTAACATGTAATCTGAATTTAATTAAGAGTGGCATAGTTGATAAAAGATTTTGCCAACAAGAGGCATTAAGAAAGTCACTACTTCCACTAAAGAAAGAAAATTCTTGTATTTGATGAAATTCTTTTACTAATAACTCAACCTCTTCAAAAAGAATATCTCCACCAGCCAAATGAAAATATCTCAGACTAGGACCAAATGGAATGAATGGATGTCGAAGAACAAACCTATTAGATGATGTAGAATCACATGTAACTGCTAATCGTTTGATTTTTGGTAACGAATAGATTAAATTAACCAGATCATGTTTGTCATGCACGTCAACGGATAAACATTCCAAAGTGGATGTCATATCCGGATGAATGCGTCCAATCATATCATCGAACTCTAATAATGAACATTTTTTCAATGATTCATGTGCGAATATTGTATTATAAATATAATACTCTTCCTCTTCTAAAGAGCTACCTGGTTCAGGTCGTTTAACACTGACATAATTCAAATATTTTAAATATTTCAATTTCGATGCAGCTACTTTCAAAACAGCCAATGATGCGTTAGTAATGATTAAGGATCGTAAATGACTAAAAGATTCTATAGAACAATTTTTCATAAATAATTCAATTTGACCAAATGTACGCGTATTGGATAGTTTGAGATAAAATATTTGTTGACGTCGTTGTTTATGGTTCAATATTTTATGACAATATTGATCAAACAGAGCTTTTGACATATTACATTTTAAACCAATAGATACATGAACATCATTTAATATTGAATTGAAACGTTTGTTCAAGTTATAAAAAGTACCAAACATTATATGTGACTTTACAAATTCAAATATTTCCAAGATTAGTTCATCAGACAGATGTTCTATGTATGTTACCATTTGTGAACAGTTAAATAATTGCATTTTTCCGATTCAGTGTCCTTCGGTTCTATAGACAAACATTTCGGTTAAACAGAAGAGAAAAGTGTTTTTCTACTTTGTTCGACAAATACAATCATTTTATTCTTCTGTTTAAATGTTGAGCCCAGTCAAAATCGTTCATCGAAGAAACATAAAATGAAGAATGCGTTGTCCTTTTTCGTCTTCTCTTGCAATTGTCATAATCAATATAACTTTATATTCGTACTGTCTCTCTCATCACGAACGTAATACATAAAATCGAAAAATTCGAAGAAGCACATGCCTGTTCAGCAGAAGAAAATTAGAAAAGACGAAAACGGTTGAATGACGTATCTTCGAAAAGTGTGCTGCTGTTGGATGGTCATGGTAAGCACGAAGAGCAGGCTTGATCATTGATGATGGTAAATAAATTAATTTTAATTTTGTTCCACCCCGATTTCTAGATAATAGTTTGTACAAAATTTTATCCTGTAATACATATGGATGTTGGTTGGGATCGGCCAGGACTTCCGTAATTTTCTGCTGAATCACCGGATCTTTATCTTGTTCTTCTTGCAATTTCGTAACATCGATCTAGTGATGTTGCATGCGGAGTTGTGAGTGATTGATCTCCCTGATCTGTTGTGGCAAGTTTTTGTGCCTTTGCCCTAGCTCTTGTTGTGACACTTATCAGTCCACTGACTGGATGTTTTACCTCGAGGCCGTAGTCCGTATCCATTAAATCGTCAAAATCCACTACTGGATTTCTTGACATATAATCTGGTAAACAGTTATGTCTTCCTTTAATATGAATGACTTGTTCGATATTATATTCTTGTAATAATAATGCAATTCGAAAGACATAACCGATATCTAGTAATAAATATAAGTTGAAATGACTTTATATATAGATGCTGTTAAAATCTTATTCTTGCTTAGAATTTACTTTGTTTTCTTACATGTTTATAGCGAACAATTTAAAAAAGTTATGCCGTAACCCAGCAGAATAGAAACTGAAAGTCAATTATTCAAAATCCTAGAGGATATGATCT